TGCCCGGCCTGGTGAGGGCCAGAGCTTGCCTCCTCCTCCTGTTTCCCTTTTCCTCTGAAGAGAAAATGCATCAGGCAACAGCGTTCTTTTTATTTTGAAACTTCATTGCAGTCCGTTTCCTCCCCTTTTCCAACTCCGGAGCACATGTTCTTATCTCATATTTACGCCCCTTTCCGTCCGCTTTTTCCCTCCTCCTCTCCCTCATTGGCCCAGGAACCGGGTGGTTACAATCTTTCCGTCTGCCTATTCCGTGTCGCTCCGATGCCTGTTCTTCGCTGCCACTTCGTCCCTCTTATGTGAATTATAATTAGCTTATTTATTTATTTTATTTTATTTAAAGTTTTTGTATGCCGTCCCCTGCTATATAGCCTCGGGACGGCTCACACAAATAAATATAATACATAGAAGATATAAATTATCTTCTCTGCGGGGTGTATAGTTAATATTCATGAGGTCATTGAGCACGCTCCCTGCTATTTTGTCTAAGCGCCAATTCCCTCCTGCTATCTGATCCTGGCCCCATCCCGCTATGGCTAAGGAATTTTCCCTTCCTTACATTTCCCTCTCCCTGTTTCCTTGTTCCAAATCACTTCCTTTCTCTGTCACTCCCATTTCCAGAGTCCCTATCTTTGCACCCTCTCTGCTTGCCCCCCCCACCCGCCACCCGTGGGAAAGAGGAGTTTCCATTGTTTCTCAGATTTTTGCTAATTGCTGGATGGGTATTTCTTTGTTCTTGAAGACCTGATCTCTTGATGTCTGCTACATGACTTGGCCTATTTTCTATTTGTTGTTAGTCCCGAAGTTGTGTCCGAGCCATCGCGACCCCATGGACAACATTCCTCCAGGCCTTTCTGTCCTCCACTATCCCCAGGAGTCCACTTAAGCTCACACCAACTGCTTCAGTGACTACATCTAGCCACCTCATCCTCTGCTGTCCCCTTCTTCTTTTGCCATCTATTTATTTATTTATTTATTTATTTATGGATTTATATCCTGCCTTTTTCCTACAAAGGGCTCAAGGCAGTTTACATCATTCTCCTCCTCTATCTTATCCCCACAACAACAACCACCCTGTGAGGTAGGTTGGGCTGAGAGTCTGTGACTGGCCCAGAGTTACCCAGTTGGCTCCATGGCTGAGCGGGGACTAGAACCCAGATCGTCTGAGTCCCAGTCCCACGCTCTTAACCACTACACCACACTGGCTCTCTATTGTTCCCAGCATTAGGCTCTTCTCCAGTGAGTCCTTCCTTCTCATTAGGTGCCCAAAGTATTTCAGTTTCATCTTCGGGTATCTGGTCTTCTAAAGAGCAGCCAGGGTTGATCTCCTCTAGGACTGACCGGTTTGATCGCCTTGCGGTCCAAGGGACTTGCAGGAGTCTCCTCCAGCACCACAATTCAAAGGCCTCAATTCTTCGACGCTCAGCCTTCCTTCTGGTCCAGCTTTCACAGCCATACATTGCAACTGGGAAAACCATAGCCTTGACGATATGCACTTTTGTTGGCAGGGTGATGTCTCTGCTTTTTAGTATGCTGTCTAGATTTGCCATAGCTTTCCTCCCCAGGAGCAAGTGTCTTTTAATTTCTTGGCTGCAGTCCCTGTTTGCGGTGATCTTGGAGCCCAGGAAAATAAAATCTGTCACTACCTCCATTTCTTCCCCATCTATTTGCCGGGAAGTGAGAGGACCGGATGCCATGCTGTTAGTTTTCTTAATGTTGAGTTTCAAGCCAACTTTTGCACTCTCCTCCTTCACCCGCATCAAGAGGCTCTTTAGTTCCTCTTCACTTTCTGCCATGAGAGTGGTATCATCTGCATATCTGAGGTTGTTGATATTTCTCCGGCAATCTTAATTCCAACTGGTGATTCATCCAGCCCCACCTTTCTCATGATGTGCTCTACATATAAGTTAAATGACTATTTTGCCTCTGTGTTCTCCCCAAAGCAGGATGGGGGATACCCGCATCGGAGATTAGATGAGGCTGGGGACTTAGGGGCACAGATTAGAGTCACCCCCCTCCCTTGAAGTCGAGGGGCTCCTCAGGGCATTGGACATTACAAAGGCACCAGGCCCTGACAGGTTACATCCGAGAGTACTTAGAGAGTTGGCAGGGGTTCTCTCATGCCCGCTGGCCTCCATTTTTGAGACCTCGTGGAGAATGGGTGAAGTTCCAGAGGACTGGAGGGTGGCATCAGTGGTCCCAATTTTCAAAAAGGTAGTAGAAAGGACATGGGGAATTACAGACCTGTTATAGCCTGATGTCCGTTGTAGGAAAAGCAATGGAAAGGCTCAAAATAGACACAGATCTAGTGATGCTAGATAGGGAAGGGAGGCTGACAGCCACAAAACACGGTTTCCGCAAAAACAGGTCCTGCCAGACAAACCTTGTGGAATTCTATGACAAGGTTTCGAGATGGCTAGATGGAGGGGATGCAGTGGATGTGGTATACCTGGATTTCAGCAAGGCCTTTGACAAAGTGCCCCATGATGTCCTGGTGGAGAAACTGAGGAGTTTTGGGATACACCAAAGCACTGTCCAGTGGATTAGGGCATGGTTGACTGACCGAAAGCAGAAGGTAACCATTAGTGGGGAATCATCGGGATGGCGGCCAGTGACAAGCGGGGTCCCCCAGGGCTCTGTTCTGGGGCCGATCCTGTTTAATCTTTTCATAAATGACATGGAAGAAGGGGTGAACAGTCTGCTGATCAAATTCGCAGACAACACTAAAACTGGAGCAGTGGCCACAACTGAGAAGCAGGTACTCCAGATCCAAAAGGATCTGGACAGACTATGGAAGTGGGCAGGAGACAAAAGGATGGCGTTCAATGTGGATAAGTGCAAGGTCTTGCACTTGGGGCATAGGAATAGGTACCATAAGTATAGGATAGGTGACAAGTGGCTGGAGAGCAGCACTTGTGAAAGGGACCTCGGGGTGCTGGTTGACTGCAGGCTAAACATGAGTCAGCAGTGTGATGCGGTGGTCAAGAGGGCGAACGCCACCCTTGGTTGCATAGCCAGAAGTGTGGCTTCTAGATCGAGAAAGGTATTACTACCACTCTGTATGACTCTGGTGTGCCTGCAACTGGAGTATTGTGCTCAGTTTTGGGCCCCTCATTATAGAAAGGATATAGCCATGTTAGAGTCAGTGAGCAGAGCCGGCTGCTGCCGGAGGTCAGACTAGATGGCCCGGGAGACCCCTTCTGACTCGCTCAGTTTCTATGTTTCTATGTAAATAGGGCGACAGTATACAGCCTGCCGAAATCCTTTCTCAATTTTGAACCAATCAGTGGTTCCCTGTCCAGTTCTCACTGTTGCTTCTTGACCCACATATAGGTAAGACCCGCAAGAGGCAAATAAGCTGGTCCGGTACTCCCATCTCTTTAAGGACTTGCCACAATTTGTTGTGATCCACACAATCAAAGGCTTTAGCATAGTCAATGAAGCAGAAGTAGATGTTTTTCTGGAACTCCCTAGCTTTCTCCATGATCCAGCGTATGTTGGCAATTTGATCTCTAGTTCCTCTGCCTCTTCGAAATCCTGCCTGTACTTCTGGTTGTTCTCAGTTCACATACTGCTGGAGCCCAGCTTGTAGGATTTTGAGCATCACTTTGCTAGCATGTGAAATGAGTGCAATGGTGCGGTAGTTTGAACATTCTTTGCAAACCTCCGTCCATAGTTCTTCAGGCACTCTGTCTATCAGATCTAATTCCTTAAATCTATTTGTCACCTCTACTGTATATTCATCAGGGATATGATTTAGGTCGTACCTGAGTGGCCTAGTGCTTTTCCCTACCTTCTTCAGTTTAAGCCTAAATTTTGCAGCAAGAAGCTCATGATCTGAGCCACAGTCAGCTCCTGGTCTAGTTTTTACTGACTGTATAGAGCTTCTCCATCTTTGGCTGCAGAGCACATAGTCAATCTGATTTCTGTGTTGACCGTCTGGTGATGTCCATGTGTACAGTCGTCTCTTGGGTTGTTGGAAAAGAGTGTTTGCTATGACCATCGTATCCTCTTGACAAAATTCTACCAGCCTGTGTCCTGCTTCATTTTGTACTCCAAGGCCAAACTTGCCTGTTATTCTGGTTATCTTTTTGCTTCCTATTTAGCATTCCAATCCCCCTGATAAGGACATCATTTTTGGGTGTTAATTCTAGAAGGTGTTGTAGGCCTTCATAGAACTGGTCAACTTCAGCCTCTTCAGCACCAGTGGTTGGGGCATAGACTTGGACTGCTGTGATGTCGAATGGTTTGCCTAGGATTTGACCTGAGATCATTCTGTTATTTTGGAGATTGTATCCCAGTACTGCTTTTCCTACTCTTTTATTGACTATGAAGGCTACTCCATTTCTTCTGAGGTATTCTTGCCCACAGTAGTATACCTGATGGTCATCTGAATTAAATTCTCCCATTCCTGTCCATTTTAGTTCACTGATTCCTAAGATGTTGATATTCAGTCTTGTCATCTCTTGTTTGACCACATCCAGCTTGCCTTGATTCATGGATCTTACATTCCAGGTTCCTATGGAGTATAGATCTTTGCAGCATCGGACTTTCCTTTCACCACCAGATACATCTGCAACTGAGTGTCCTTTCGGCTTTGACCCAGTTGCTTCATTCTTTCTGGCGCTACTAGTACTAGCCCTCTGTTCTTCCCCAGTAGCATATTGGACACCTTCCGACCTGAGGGGCTCATCTTCCGGCATCATATCTTTTTGCCTTTTATTTAACTGTCCATGGGGTTTTCATGGCAAAGATACTGGAGTGGGTTGTCATTTCCTTCTCCAGTGAATTACGTTTTGTCAGAGCTCTCTGCTATGACCTGTCCGTCTTGGGTGGCCCTACACGGCATAGCTCATAGCTTCATTGAGCTACTCAAGCCCCTTCGCCACAACAAGGCTGTGATCCATGAACAGGTCCTTATAGGTTATTCTATGATATATAAGACTAGAGCTACTCCTGAAGTTTTTCCCACATTCAGCACCCTGGTTAGGTTTCTCAACAGTGTGGATTCTCGCATGAAGTTTAAGGTCTGAAATGGTTCTGAACCCTTTCCCACAATCTGAACATTTATGTGGCCTCTCACTTGTGTGAGAGGTGATAGGTGTGAAAGGAGGATTTGAAACGAGGGAGTAGCAAGATTTAAAAGGTAACAAAGAAAATTACTTAGCCCAATGGAGGTGGGGGTGGGCTAAGATCAGATAGCACAAGGTGTGAGAAAGGCAGGCAGGATGGCCAAATACTGACAATGACTTCCTGATTGTTTATTGACAATCTTGGCAGAACAAAATGAGCCTATTGTTGCTCACTGGGGGCAGGGCTGGATTGGGAAGAAGGGCCGGTATTGGAGCAGCGTGGAGTAAGCGGGAGGAAAGACTGTAAACTCCCGGTACCCCAGCCAATGAGGGGAAAGGAGGAGGGAGAAGCGGCCGGGGGCAAGGCATAAAATGGGATGTGAACATGTGCTCAGTTAAGCTCGAAAATGGGAAGGAAACCATTTTTCATTCCCTTTGTTGCAATAAAGTTTTGAAAAGAACTCTCTGAATGCTTGGAATATTTTTCTCTTCCAAAGGAAAGGAAAGAGTGATTTTAACAGAGGGGACCTTACTCAGGAAAGCCACGTTCCCATAATTCTCCTGCATGACTGTGCAGAACAAAGTTCTCTGTTCTGGTTCCAGAAGGGCCCACTCAGACTTGGTGAAATAAACAGCCACATCCTCAAAGGTCATCAGGTCTTAGAAGAGGGGAAGATTACCCAGTTAGCCCTATCTAGACAAATCCCAAGAGCAAACACTTTGCACTGAGTTCAGTCATCTTATGAAAACAGAGATAATATAAGCATAAACAACCAAAAGACGCAACAAGCTCAGGACTGTGACAGCACCATCCCGATTTCTCTGCCTGTCTTGTGGCAGCTTTCCAGTTTCTTACTAGTCCCAGCTCTGATTTGCACTTAGCAATTCTTCATTTGAAAAGTGAAGGCCCAAAACTTGCAAACAACATCCTTGGGCAAAAGCTGGAGATGCTGCTACTGAGACCAGTCACTTCCCACCCCACCCCTAATTTCCGGACCAGCTCAGTCTGCACAGCTGGATACAGTCCACAGCTGCATGCATGTATCCATCTACATACATGAAGGAATTCATTTCTAGTGGAAGAAGCCAGTGCAGCTGTGAGAGCCTCCACTGGACTGCTACACTGCAATCCCACTCTGTGGGGTGGAAGCACTGAGGGCACCTTACCCAGGCCCCACACCTGGAGCCATCTAGCCAGCCAGGCCCACCTGCCCTCCTTCCCTCCACCCACCTCTACCAGAGCTGCTCAAGCCTTTGGTCTCCAACTGAGAGGGAGGGAGGCTCTTGTGACAAGCTGGGCAGTCATCCCACCACCTGCAAGGAGGGAAGAGGAGCAGGTGCGGGAGAGGCAGTCTGCTTTGTCCTGCTGCCAGCTGCAGAGTCAGGCGGGCTGCACGTCACCCGACTCAAAGTCCCCACCCCAACTCTGGCCCGGAAATTCCCTGCACAACCTGGAACCAGCCCATCTCTCAAGTCTTACCTCCCTGTCAGGTTTACTGCGAGGATAAAAAGGGGGAAGGGTGGATCTTGTTCTCTGCCTTTAGTTCTTTGGGGAAATTTTTAAAAGTGCATTTGACAATAGTGAAAAAACACCCTTAGAGGGAAGAGGAGAGTCCCTTAGAGAGTCTGCTGGGCATGAGCAATCAAAAGAACCTTTATAGTTTATTCAGATATACAGGAAAGAAGCACGGCACGTAAGGAGCCTCTGAAGGCACTACTGTACTCAGAAAAATAAATGTTACCATCCCGCCCCACTGCCTTGCCATAAACACATCCAAAAGGGTGCCTCAGTGTCTGGTGGTGAAGGCCAAATGACCCCACTCCATTAGTGGGTAACTGTCCAAGTGCAATCTCTGTGTTTTATAGGCTTGCTAAAGTGCCTCCCTAACCCTGTAAGTTCACACATGTAACCTTTTTGTTTACTTAACTTGGCCAGCCCGTTCAAGGTAACTTTAATTAGAAGGCTTGTCAAAGGCATCTAATTAGAGTGAAATGTAACTTCTCTTTATGGTGCTGTGATGTGTATCCAGTCACTTTCTGATCCATACCTAAGTATCCAATCACCTTCCTGTGTATTGTATTCACACCCCTTTTGTGTATTCTATATAACCCTAAAAGAATGCAAAGATGGAGTCTGTACAAGGCACTTTTTATAACCTACAGTCATGATCATGTACACAATATGCTAGAAGCACGATGTGAGAGTAAAACAAAAGGGTCGAATGGGGTTAGGACAACACAAAGAGAAGAACCTTCAGGAAAGGCAGACAAAGCATGTCTAAGGAGTGCCTCAAAGGACAGGGGCATTAGCATTTCAAAGGGGCACCAGGAAAGCAAGACTTGCAACACGGATTCCCATCTTAAGTCTAAAGTCTCTTACAATGTTGGGCTTTGAGCAGCCATATTATATTATTTTTGCTCATTTTGTCCTGACACATCTTGTGCCTGGTTTTGTACATTTGACACCCATCAGTATGCATTTTTGTACACCAAAATGCATACTGGGGAACTGCTCATATTAGAAGTGCACATTTTCCAATGTGTGTGTATTTTTATGTGCCTGTTCCCCTTAAATGCACACATTTTTGTATTTTTCTAAATCAGAGAATTTATTTATTAATTAAAAGCTTTCATATGCCGTCCTTTATATAAATATTTCAAATTGGATCATAAAATCTAGAGCAATTAGAAAATTGAAGGATAATTGCGTTCAGGTTCATGTGATACCTTCTGTGTGTAAATTATACCAGTTCACAGTGAAATGTGGACCAGTTGAATTCTCCCACAACCACAATACTAAATTAAGATGACCTGTATAATGGAAAAATCCAAAACAGAATATAAGCCCACCCTATACACTTTCCCAAATATCCCTAGAAAATCCTGGGGGGGGGGGGGGAGAGGGACACACACACACACACACACACACACACACACGGTTTTTCTGAATTGTTCTTGCTCTCCCATTTCTCCACCCCCACAATGTTTTCTGTCCCCTGGCTTCCCCACAAGAACACCACACCTGCAGTGTAGTTTACTAACTGAAGGATATATTAGAGCAGATGCTGGAAGGTGCAAGAAAGCTCTTGAGAACACTCTGCAGCGATGTTCGTGAAAATGAACCCAAGGGCGGCGGCAGGAGGATGCGTGTAGGTCGCGTTCGCACGACTTATGTCTTTTATCAGCCCTGCGAGGTTCCAATTCACCAGCAGCTCAGATCCCTGGAGGGGCCTGCAAGGCTTGAAGTGACAAGTAGCCAAATAAATGACGCCTTTCCTGTAAAAGGGAAGGGGAGGGGAGGGAGGGGAGGGGAGGGAGGTCAAAATCCCCTCCGGAAAGAGGAGGAAGTGCAGGCAATAAAGAAAATACGTACCCAATCCTGCTCCTTGGTAAAATAAATCACTTCCAGGTTTCTTGACTCCTATGCAGAAGGTAATCCAGCCTCTCAAGGAGGCAGATTCAAATCAGAGCCACCGATTGCAGTTACTCGTCCACCAGGGTGTCCTCTTGCATGGAGGTTAAGCCGAGAGCGGTAATGCAGGAGCGGTTTCCGGGGCTCAACCAGGTCAGCAGGGCCTGGGCCTTGGCCTGCCCAGCAGCAGCCGCCGAAGCTGCGTGCCTTTTCGTTGCCCTTACAGGGAATCCGCTTTCTCCCCTCCCGCCCCACACACCGCTTCCCTAACCACAAGAAGCGGCGCCACTTTTAAGGGCTGGTGGGCAAAGGCAAGACTAACATGCGGAACGTGCTGCTATGCTGGAAGGATGCGGAAGGCGCGTCCATTACTTGCGAATGGCCTGACCTGCTGTGCAAAAGTGGCAGAACGGGAAAAGAGAGAGAAAAGACATGGGCCTCTCTACCAATTGCAGATTAGCCAATGCGATGATTTGCCACGTATGGCTGTGAAACCTGGACTCTGAAAAAGGCAGGTAGAAGGGTGGGTGCTTTTGAATCGTGGCGCTTTGAGCCTCACCAAAAATATCACTTGAAGTCAAGATCGTCCAGCAAAGGCTGTCATACTAGAGCTGGCGCACTCGGAAAGTCAATCATGCTGGGAGCGGCAGCAGAAAAAGGAGAAGCCGTCATGGTCACCCCGGTCCCCTGGGCTGGGCACCATAAAGACACTGGGATGGACATGGCGGTCTTAAAGGAAGAAGTGCGAGGCAGAGAGGCATGGAAAGCAATGATCCATGGAGAGGCCAAGGGCCACACGACTGAATGGCTGGCAACAACAACACCCCTCCCCCCGTATGGGCAGCTTATTTTTCCCGTATTTCTGCAAAAAAATATATTTCTGCCAAAAAAAAAAAAAAAAGTCAGATTGGCATTAATTTCTTGGTTCCACTAGGATATTCAGGGTGGTGAACAACATAGGATTTTTACAAACGAAACCTAGTGGGAAGTGCATTTCTCTCATGGTACTCGATTTCATTCCCAAACCCCCTTTACGTATTTATTATATTTTTATTCACTGCTTCTCCAAAGCTGTAGATTGGTTTTTAAGCATCTGAATATTGACAGTATCTGAAAGAAAAAGATCAACTGGTTGCAAAACATATCAAGAATCAAATTTAAAAAACCAATCAATGTAGCAAAAATTTAAGATGAAAATGAATTGAGTTTTCCCTTTCCACAAGCTGTGCCTACAAAACCTGCACAGTCCTTGTCAGACTGTTTTGTAGGTTTCCCACCCCCATTCTTCAAGCTATTTTCTATATGTTTTTATTTTTTACTTTTTTGTACTAGACAAACCTTGGGGTTTTCTAAGCCTGTGAACAACTCCTCTTCATGTGTGAATGATACTTTCTTGTCAGTTTAGGCTGGTTATTCCTAGTTAAGTGGAGCTCCCCAGAGTAGGCTCACCATCATTGATAGCTCCTGTAACGCACAGAATGAAAGCTGCAATGGATATGAGACCCCAAGCCTCCACCTGCCCAAGCTCCTCGGCAACTGGAGTAATGCAGGCACGCCACCGCTGATAATGGAGACAGCAGCAAGGCTAGCAGCCCTTCACAGCCTCCTCCTCCAGAAATTTGTCCAGTTCCCTTTTAAAGTCATCCAGATTGGTGGCCTTTACCACCACCTGTGGCAGTGAGTTCCGCAGTTTAAATTTGTGACAAAGTCCCAAAGGCGGACAGTGAGGAGCAGGCTCACCCAGGGCTCAGTCCTGGGACCAAGCCTGTTCAATCTTTTCATCAATGACCTGGAGGAGGGGGTGAGAAGTCTGCTGGTCAGATTCACAGATGATAGTAAAATGGGTGTGCTGGCTACAGCTGGGGAGCAGGTACTCTGGATCCAAAAGGATCTGGACAGACTATGGAAGTAGGCAGGAGACAACAGGATGGCGTTCAATGTGGGTAAGTGCAAGGTCTTTCACTTGGAGCACAGGAATGGGTGTCATAAGTACAGGTTAGGGGACAAGTGCCTGGAGAGCAGCACTTGTGAAAGGGATCACGGGGTGCTAGTTGAGTGCAGGCTAAACATGAATCTAGTGTGACTCAGTGGTCAAGAGGGCAAATGCCACCCTTGGCAGCATAGCCACAGGTGTGGCTTCCAGATCGAGAGATCTGCCACTCTATATGACTCTGGTGTGCCCACAACTGGAGTATTGTGTTCAGTTCCGGGCTCCACATTACAGGAAGGATATAGCCAGGTTAGAATCAGTGCAGCGTAGGGCCACAACGATGGCGGCTGGATTGCAGGGAAAGCCATATGAAGCGAGGCTGAGGGAACTGGGTCTTTTCAGTCTGGAGGAGACTCCGAGGGGATCTGTTGGTTACATAGAGGTACATAATGGGGTGTCACACAGAGGTGGATGAAGACCTGTTTCCCCCTGCAGAGGATGGCAAGATGTGTTCCAATGAAGCAAAGCTCAGGGAACCAAGGTTCAATTTGGATGCCAGGAAGTACTTCCTGACAATTAGGACCCCAAGGGCATGGAATGGGCTTCCACAGGAGGTGGTTAAGGCCCCATCAGTGAGGGTGTTCAAGGATAGGCTGGACATGCACATGGAAGGCATGTCATGAGTAGAGCCGGCTGAAGCCAGGGGTCAGACTAGATGGCCCAGGAGACCCCTTCCGACTCACTCTGTTTCTATGTTTCTAATTCTGTTTAGTCCATACAGTATCTCCACTATTATCTTGCAGTGTTTTCATATCTGTTTCTTTCCCAAAAATCTTCAATTTTTTCTTTGTAAAACTCTACACTGTTTTGGAGTAAAGTTTGGAATACTGTTTCTACTGAGAGCTTTACTTATTGGCCAGTCCATACATTTAATCAATAAGGAGGGTAATCGTATTAAGTATATTGTTTTCTGGATTTGGTGTGGGGCAAACTCTACCATGCCCAGACATTGTTTCTTTTATACATTCCTCAGCATGTGCATGCATGCCTAGGTGTACACTATTCCAAACTAGAAATTGTGGGGAAAGGAAATCTGAAAAAGTTCATACAAATGTAGCAAACTTCACCATATCTGAATGCATCGTTTTTCAGTACTGGTGCTCTGCAGTGGAGAGCACTGAGGCCAGCCTTTTATCTTCACTCTTTAACTTTCCAGACGCAGATAGTAGAGAAAGCCCGTGTTTCATTCAAGGCAGACAAATAGGGTGAGATGACCTTAACTTAGGAACCCCACCCATCCGTGATGAACATTCACCAGCAACTCAAGCTTGAGAAGGTACTGCCGTACAGAGAAGCCTCTATTTTCTTACTCACAGTTTTGGTAATAGACACAGCATTTCTACAGAAATCACACAGTAAGGTTTGACCTAACATCTTCATTAAATTCATATATATAACAATCCTGCTGACAGGAACCCTCAGGCAGGCAGTGGCCTGCAGCTCTTGCCGTGGCTACACTAAGAGACTCCTAGGAGGCCAGAAGCCAGAGAGATTTTACAGGGATTTGTGGCTAAACTTTTAGGGCATAACTCCACGCATGTTTGGACAAAATAAAATCCTACAAATTCCAACATGACCCAGCCACCATGCCTGGCTGGGGACATGATCGTATGGCTTTTTTCTGTCTAAACTTCCATAGAATTGCACCCTACGGGGTTCACACAGTGTCCTTTCCGCTATCTTATCTGGACGTGTGGGCTCGTAGGCAGCAGCTTTAGTGACAGATGTATCAGAAAGCACACCAAGGATGTGAGAGCACTGCTCATATGCGACTGTCCTTACAAGTGACATCACCAGAAAAATGAGCCTCACGGCACTTCCCTCGTCGCATGTGAGTTTTCTGATGCAGTTACTTTCGTACATGCGTATCCTTAATGAAGCTGCTCCCACAAGTGGGCCATCAACATTATATTTTTTTTCTTCCCATGCAGATGAGGTCATATTTACAAAGTCTAGCCCTCTGCCAGAAGCACCTCTTTCTCTCCCTCTCATGGGATTTCTTTGATGAAAGGAATGACTTGTTTCAAAACCGCCTTGCACAGTCCACCGATAGTTTCTCTCCTGAACAGATTCTTTGGTGAGACTAAAGTTGACCATCCAGGAGGAGGCATTTCCTGCAGTCCCAGCTTTTATACAGACATTTTCCTGTGCAAGGCCAGCCCTAACATTTGGTAGTGCGACGTGGCCATCTCAGCCTCTTGTCCTCATGCGGAGCACATTGTTTTGTTGCGAGTGCTAAAGTATGATTCAGCCGTCGGTTCAGGCGGCTTCTGCAGGTGACCGAGGCAAACACTTGTCCTTTGCATCAAACACCACACTTTTGCTTGAACCTTCTGATGCTACACAAGACAGTGCTATGTAACATGATGACCTCACGCAAGTTTTTTTCCCCCCTTTGGTGGAAGTTTTCATGCTCAAAATAGCCTGATCTCGCACAGCATCTGTATTTTATCTCTCCTGAATAAGCTGCTCACATGTAGAAACTCAAATCTTTCTGAAAAGCTCATCTTGCCCTTTTTACTTACATGAAGTTGATTACGTTGACTATGTTTTGATTTTATCATGATTTTTATTTCCCTTCATAACAAAACATCCATATGGCTTCTTTTGTCTGTGACATCTGTCATATTTAACTACTGCAGGTGAATTATGAAGGCTTTTACTATTGTGCAAAATTGTTTCTCACCTGTGTGGGTTTAAAAAAAATATCATCCAAGGGCTGAAATTTGGCTGAAACTTCTCTCACAGTCTGAGCATTTACATAGGTGCATCTTCTGATGTTTAATCAAAAATAAACTCTGCTTTAAGCATCTGCCACACTTCACACATTTATATGATTGTGCATTTTTCTTGTGCATTTTTCAATGACTAATCAGGGTAGAGATGCATCAGAAGTGTTTCTCACAGTCAACACACTGATAAAGTTACTCACTGGTAGGAATTCTCTCATGTAAGAGAAGTGTGAGATGGTTATGAAGTTTTTCCCACAATTATAATATCAATGCAATTTCTCTTCTCCATGAGTTTTTTTGTGCCTGCTAAAGTTTGATGCACACTTGAAGCTTTTCCCACAATCTGGGCATTTGTATGGTTTCTCTCCTGTATGGATTCTCTCATGAACATTAAGGTATTCTTTCTCTCTGAAGCACTTCCCACAATGGGAGCACTTGAACAATTTCTCTCCTGAATGGATTTTTTCATGTCTCACAAGATTTCCTCTTTGATTGAATTTTTTCCCACAATCTGAACATGTATAGGTTTCCATTCCAGAATGCATTTTCTCATGTCTGTTAAGGGTTTCTTTGCAACTAAAGGTTTTTCCACAATCTAAACATATATATGGTTTTTCTCCTGAATGTATTTTTTCATGTCTAATAAGACGCTCTTTGTCAATGAATTTTTTCCCACAATTTGAACATGTGTATGGTTTTTCTCCCAAATGGATTTTCCCATGCCTGTTGAGATTCCCTTTAAAAGTAAATGTTTTCCCACAATCTGAGCACACATATGGCTTCTCTCCTAAATGGAACTTTTCATGACTCGTAAGATGTTCTTGAGTAAGGAACTTTTTCCCACACTCTGAACATGCATATGGTTTTTCTCTAGAATGGACTTTTTCATGTCTATTAAGATTTCCCCTGCAAGCGAACCGTCTCCCGCAGTCAGGACACACGTACGGCTTTTCTCCAGTGTGAGACCTCAAGTGTATTATAAGAGCAGCGTTGTGATTGCAGATTCTCCCACAAACAAAGCACTTAAGTGGTTGTGGTGCTGGGCGGGTATAGCTTTTGCCTTCTTCTGTATGCACCTCTTGTATCCCACCAGGGTGACTTCTCTCTTGGACTCTTATTTCACTAGGATCCTTGTTGCTTTCCTCCCAAAGAATGGCTTCCTTCCAAGGATGTGTTTTCTGCAGCTTCTTTGGTCCAAAGCTTTCTGCTTTCTTTCTATGCTGGGAAGCAGTCTCTTCACTCCATTGCAAAGTCATCACTTTTGGTCTTACAAACAGAAAGCTCTCTTCTTCCTCCTTTACCTGCTCATAACCTGCTAAACAAACAAACCAACAGAAACATCTAGATGTGTTAGTTCTGAAATTCCAAAAGGAAGGAAAAGAACTAAGTAGTAAAGAATGGATCACCTCTGCTTTTATTTTTAAAATATTCTATACCCTTACATACAAATAGTCTCAAGAAGAACAATAGATTTATAACCATAATCATTTTATTATTTGTATGTTATGGTTTACTGTATTGGATTGTACACCATTCAGAGAACCTGACTTACTGGGGAGCTTAAAAGTGCAATAAATAAAATAATTAAAATGTTAAAAATGCCCATGAAAATGAAAACCTATTTGCCTGGCACAGGAAAAGGTTTAAGGCTAGGCTCACCCAGTCTCACTGGGAAGACTGTTCGGCAGATGGGGTGGGGGGGAACCACAACTTATTAGATTTATATCCTGCCTTTTACTTTTTTAAAGAACTCAAAGTGGCTTGCATCATTCTCTTTCTCCTGCTCTCAATCTTATCCACACAACAACCCTGTGAGGGAGCTTGGGATGAGAGTCTGTGACTGGCCCAAAGTCACCCAATGGGCTCCACAGCTGAGCGGGGACTAGAACCAGGATTGCCTGAGTCCCAAACCTAATCTCTTAACCGCTACACGATACTGGCTCTCACTTGCTGGCCAGTCCCCTCTAAATTTAGAAGAAGCTTGGACAGACATGGAGAAGGGCTCCTATGATTATCGTAACACATGTGTGAGAAGGCAGCCTCTCCTTTATCCCATTCTCACACCACACATTGCAGTGGTACCTCGACTCATAAATGCCTCAGTTCACGACCAAATAGGGTTGCAAACAGAAGTTTCAGAAAAATTTTGCTGCAGGTCACAAACTCTGCATCAGGTGATAATCGCGATCGCGTCCGTCTTCCCTGCATGATCACAGTCATTCTTGGGGTGGGGGGGAGATGGCTGCGATTGCACCCCTCTTCCCTGCCCGAGCGCAACCGCAATCGCAGCTGTCATGCTGGGAGGGGGGAGATGGCTGCGTTCTTTGTTGTTCTCTGTCACTTCGTTTCAAATTTTTGTGATTAAAAAAATGGTTACAGAAGTAATTAACCTTATTTACACTGAACCTTATGCGGAAATTTGACTTGGCTCACGACCAGTTTGGGTCGCAACCAGAGCTGTGGAATGCATTAAGTTCATGAGCCAAGGTACCACTGCACTTCAAAGCAAAGAACCAGCACTTTCAATTCTGCCTAGGAATGAACCAGCAACACTGTATCTGAACTGATGAGATGTGCTCCCTGGATCCGGTCCTGGTGAGCATGCTAGCAAAAATATTCCGAACTAACCAAAGTTTTATGGGACAGGTTCAAAGGTTGCCCCACATGTGGCAAACAGCCCTGAAGGTTACAGCTCAGGTGTCTCTGTTCAGCACAGCAGCTTCAGCTAGTGACAGAGGCAACTTACTATGCAAGCCACCCAGGACTGCAGTGGCAAAGCTAAATCAATCCACACTCCTACAATACAGGCCTGATCCATAAGGATTGTGCGACTCCTTCAGGATGCATAGCAAAAACACACCAACAGCATTGCCAACTTGCCTGCATTTTACTTAATATTTCAGCCATGTGCTGGCAGCTTCTCTTCATAAACCAAATTCACACCATGGATTGAATAGCTCCCTTCTTTCCCCTACAGGATCCGAGATGTGACCAGAGCACCCTACCTCTGCAAAACGCAGGTGAGTAGAAAGACGGACTGGGGGTTTGCTCCCAAACTAATGGTTTCTTCAGAGCTGCTGCATGCAACCCCTCAACCGAAGCACTGTCTCGCTGGATCCCTTTTGCTCCAAATTCTTGCTGATCAGGCACCCAGAACACATCCCCATTTTCGAGTCGGGAGATCAGCTCTGGCTTTGGAGCTAGCCATCCAGGTTAGAGAGAAGAGAAACAGAGAGCGTCAGGACATATTTAAAGGAGCAACAGGCTGGTGTAGTGGTTAGAGTGTCAGATCAGACCTAAGTCCAAAATCTCCACTCAGCCCAGAAGCTTCCTGGATGGCCTTATGGTTAGACAATATTGCGTACAATTCTTGTCCTTCTTCATAACACGTTACCTAAGTATATTTACCTGGTCCGCAGAGATATACATATATTTAATTTAATTTAATTTAAATATTTATATCCCGTCCTATGCAGAAATCACCTCAGGATGGCTTACAAAAACCAAAAACTAATATACAAAGAAAACAACTCTCACCTCTTTTACTTCACACACACTTAAGTTATGGAAAAAAACTTTAATTATACTTCAGATCTTCTGCTTATATTTTGCTTAAATTAGAATGAAGTCAAAATTATCACAGGAAATTCAGTAGCATCTGCTGGATAATGCTGAAGCCATCGCTAAGCAATCTTAGGGCTTTTTGTTATTTATTTTTGAAAAGTGTGAATCTCTAATAGTGAGCTTAGCAACATTCAGTACATGCCTCAGCAACTGGACTGTATGAAATGAGGGGCTGCACACAGCTTGGCATGCTAGTGCTGATGTGCAGAAATTTGTCTGCACATGCACTAGAGAGCAGATGCATCCAGTCCCCACTCGCAACTTTAACCCTTTACAGTGATGGGCAGAAGGGAAGAGCCTGAACCTGAAAAACTGGGCCTACAGCAAGTCATACTAACAACAGTACACATGGCATCTCCAAAAGCAATACAAAGAGTGAGCAGAAAATAGAAACTGTTCTCAGAACATATGCAAAGTCCGGCCAGAAGCAGCTGCTTTCCCTCAGAAAACAAAGGCAGCAGCTCCTGGACTGAGTGGTGGATTGTGTGGGTCTAAGAGCCAGTAAATCAGACCCCTCTTTTTTTTGTCATTCTTTGTTATTGTCTTTTTTTTAGCTTTTTAAACTTTTTTTCTGATTTTATATTTTGTTGTATTTTTATTGTCCATTTTTATGGACCATGTAAACCACTCAGATGGCTTCAGCTGTGGAGCACAATAGAAATGAAATGAAATGAAATGAAATGAATGAATGAAAATAATGATGAGGAAAGAGTCCTTACCCAAGGTAGTCACATTCCCATAATTCTCCTTCATGACCTCCTGGTATAAAGCCCTTTGCCCTGCATTCAGCAGAGCCCACTCAGATTCTGTGAAATACACAGCCACATCCTCAAAGGTCACAGGGTCCTGGTAGAGGGAAAGATTGTCGAATTACTTCCATCCTGAAATACACATTGCCACAAAAGAACTCTTTGCTCTGAATTCAGCAGTCTCCATAAAGAAGAGATAAAAGAACACAGGTAAACAACCACACGGGGAAAGATGGTCAGGCCCCCAGGGAGCTTTGGCTAGCTGTAGATTCCTGCTTCATCAGTTGGGGCCTTTCAATGCAAGCCCACCTCAACCACTCAACAGTCCTGAGCAAATTCCAGGGGACAGAAAGGCCCACGAATTCTAACTTGTGTTGCTTGCTTGCTTGCTTGCTTGCTTGCTTGCTTGCTTGCTTGCTTGCTTGGGCTGCTCTCTGCTGCTGCTGTAATTCCTCCATAATGCCAGGCTGCAAGTGAGCTCAGTCACTTGGGCCTAGACTCCTGCAAAAGCCATGGCTGACCACCCACCATCACCTGGGAAGCCCAGTGGGCAGGCCCACTGAGACAACAATGCTCATCTCAACCTTGATATATAAAAACCTGGGGAGAGTTAGAAAAAATGGAGGGAGGCCTGGACAATTTGGCAAGATGTGCCCACAGTTTTTCAAAAGTCCAGATTCTTCCTGGTTCCTCCCCCATGTTTTCTGTTTTTCTCCCCAGGTCTTCACATCTCTTCCCCAAGCCCACCCCCTGAGCCAGTCACAGGAAAGTCAAGCCGGATCCCAACCTGTTCCACTCTCCTTTCCCATCACTACCTGTGTTGGGTCCACGGCAGCCATTCGTCCCCACAAGGAGCTTGAGACCACGGGAGAAGCCAGCCTGCCACCTATGAGGAGCAAAGGCATACAGGCGTGGTGATCTTACAGTCCAGTCATACAGTCAGAGCAGTTCTAAACCTGGATGCAAATCTTCCACTCCCTGCGTGAAGTTGCACTACACCCTTCTTCCCATCCCTTCACATTAAGACAAACTTGCTCCACATTTCTCAAGTAGGATTTCTTGTTCTGTTTTGTCGCAAAGTTGTGCCCGACTCATCACGACCCCATGGACAACATTCCTCCAGGCTCTCCTGTCCTACACCATCCAAATAGGATCATAGCATGCCTAACTGCTGAGGATGAAGCCAGAGAAAAGGCTGGGGTGGAGGAAAAGAAGTAGTTTACAAAACCCCCTGCAAGATCATGGAGGGAAAAGCCCCATTGTTTTCTGAACTTGCAGTTCTCCTGCGACCAGTCTTTTTTTCCCTACTCCCAACATCCACATCTTCAGGGTAGCATAACAACTGGAGGACAGAGTAAAGCAAATGTTGGGAAGCGCATGCGAGCGCACGGAGAGCTTTTCTTAGAAATAAACTGCTGTTGTGTGCGTGAAACGCAACACGGTGTTGTGTGGGCGGGGGGGTTGCACGACATCCCTTAAATGATCCCTGCCTCATTCCAAAATTCCTTCCGCAGCTAAGATCTCTGGAGCTGCCTGCAAGGTTTGCAGAACAACCTCTATCCAAATAAACATTTCTTCTCTAACGGGGAGAGTCCAAAGTCCCCTCCAAAATAACGAAGGAGTGCAAAGACAAGAAGTGCAACACGCTTACCGAGATCCGAGCGTGGGCTTCTCGGCAAAATCTTGCAAGCCCAGGCCTCTCGATGCTGGGCCAACCTCCGGGGAAGCAAATCCGGATTGCTCCAGACGGATGCGATCCTTTGTCTCTGACCTGTTCCAAGCAAGTGTTTCGCTCCCGCTTTCCCGGCGGATTCCCTTGCACGGAAGCCTTAATGACTGAAGGTGAAGCAAAGCAAAAGGCCGCACTCTAGAAGCAAATCGCCGATCAAACGCTTCCGACGAGCCGCATGGCGCATGCTCGCCCGGCCCGCAGCGGAGCTCGGCCATGCTCAGTTGCAGCCCGCCAAGCCTTCGGGCGCCCCGATCCCTCTCGTCTCTGCTCTCCGAGAACCTGACTGTGAATCAGGGGACCCGGAGGGTCCTTTTGGAGGGAGGAGGGGCAGTAACGATGCATGCAGGATGAAGTTGTTTTGCAAAGCTGTGATGGAAGAGTTTGCTTAAATTCTGAATAATCAGGGCCAGCGGGAAAAAGAGGGAGATCTGGCAAAGAGAGGGAAGTTGTTTAGTGTCTGAATCCCACTCTGACCACTTTATTTATTAGATTTATATCCTGGTTTTTGCTTACTAACTCAAAGAGGCTCACTCCATTCTGCTGCTTTCAGTCTTGTCCCCAGAACAACAACCTTGTGAGGTAGGTTAAGCTGAGATTCGGTCAGTGGCCCAAAGTCACGCAGTTGGCTCCATGGCTGAGTGAGGACTAGAACCCAGATCCGCTGAGTCTCAGTCCCATACTCTTAACCACTACACCACACTGACTCTTACACACACGCTCTCTTTATAGATTCATGTATTAAGTTTGATTTTAAATGAGGCATTCTAAAAGAAGCATTCGTGTTGAGTGACTGTGACCCAGGAGATTACAATGGGAAAGCCAAAGTTTTCCAGCTGAAACCAGGACAGACCAGGCCCTTCTTTCAGGCCCTCATTAGGCTGCTTTAGAGTTCCCACCCCACCCCTAAATCAGTATTTGCACTTCTGAGAATCTAAGGGTTTCTCCAGTTCTCCTGATCCCTCTTCTTCAGACAGTACCAAGACCCATACTCAGATCATGAGTCCACAGTTACTACGTGGGATATACCTGAGCATATGGCAAGCCTGATCATAAGCTGGTTATACCCCACAATTTCTTTCAAAGCACAGGTGCCATCCTATGCAGATTTGGATAGGACAATTCCTACAACTACCAGCGTTCCTCAGCCAGTCAATCAACGCAGGACACTGCAGGACTTTTTCCTATCCAAACCTGCAGTTGGCTATGTGCCCTGCCTACATTCACAACACCTAACACTTGGCAGGTTTACTAAACGCTAATGAATTCTGTAGGGCTCCCTCCTTCCCACATAGGCATGTATCAGATTGTTATACAAGATCCTCTGAGCATGCCAGGCTGCTTATGCCCGAGGAATTCTGGGAAGTGAGAGGTGGTCACTGTGAGCAGCAGAGGTGTCAAGCTTCAACTGACCAGCTCTGGACAACATCCTTGGCTCAATGGCCTTATAGGCCTTTTCCAACACTACCGTTCTGTGATTCTATTAAACATGTTCTTTATTATGAGTGGGCTTTTTCAATTGAAAGCTTTTTCTAAAGTACCTATTAATGTAGCTTAAACCAGGGGCTGAAGCCAGTTTTCCAAGACTTCCCCCAAACTTCTTCCAACAGCACCTGGCTTTTGTTTAGCTTCTCATGTCAAAATTTTGCAATCTTCTCCTAATATTCAAGAGCTTTCAGGAATGATCCTATGGCCCCCCCTGGGCAGCAACAAATAGAGCCAGGAACTGGAGCTCTGCTCACACCCCTTTCTGGAACAAAAAAAAAACATGGCAACTGCCTCTCTGAGGTTAGGAGCCCAGCCCTGCAGAGAGGTAAAAGGGGGTGTTCTGGTGGCAGGGAGGGGAGGAACCTGCAGAGGCCAATATATAAGCCATTCTGTGGCCTCTGCAGCCTCTTTCCCTGCCTTTCCAAATCCTAATTAAAGAGCCAACTAGTGAAACGGACATCTAATGAAAATGCAGAGCAGGGGAAAAGAAAATGGAAAGGGCATTACACATAACTTATTTTTAATGAGGATAGCAACAATGAAAAAATATTGGTAAAAGGGAGCAGAATTTTTTAGAAAATTGTATGAGATCAGAAGAATCTACAATGAATTTTGGTACGTTAATAGGTAATTTAATAGTAAGGTCATTTCTCACCTCCTATATGGAGTAGAAGTATGGACATGGAATGAGGATACCCTATCAAGCCAGGACATAATCCAAAATAATTTTTAAGGTGTGTCTTTGCTTTCCCCTAGGAGCACCTTAGCCACCCTGCTGAGCACTGAAACAGGGGCTCCCATCTCTTAGGGCTCATGTGCATTGGAATAGAAACACCTCCTCTTGCTGCAGTTTGCTGGACACAAATAATTGGATCTGTTCCTAACAAAGGACTCCAAATGCTGGGCATTTCTTAACCGCATCATCTATCGATACTCAATCCCTGGTGATCTAGGTGCTACAGCTGAGAACTCTTACCTCAGGGATTGGATCTACAATTCAGACACCTTAACAAATCGATCATTAATTTTAAATTCCAAAGTAGCCCCTAGGTATAAACTAACTAAGCACAATCATTTTAGATCTAACTACTTAGTTAACATCTCTACCTTAGGATGGCTTTTACAACCCTGTACTTTCAAACTATGCGTACAGCTAATTTGACTGATATCCTCAAATTCCAGTAGAGCGCCATGTCCATACCTGTGGATCCCTCGAAGAGGAGAGCCTTCCCTACTACATCATCTCTTGCTCTCGATATAGAGAACCTATAGAGACATATTTTTGACTGGCATTTTATCTCCCTATAAAGTCATCATGTCCTGACTCTGAGAAAATGGTATTCCTGTTATCAGACTTTGATGCTTCTTTGCAGCCAAGAAGAGGTATCGAAGGGGATAGTTTCTTCATACATGAGTGGTGATCTTTTTACTTTTATTTCCTTTTATTTTTAAGTATTCTAGTCTTAGCTAGTCATGTCAGTTTTAAACTTTTCCTTGTTAAACTGCATTTTATGGCTCTAAATTTGTAATGGTCTATGTCTTAATACAATAAACATTCACTTATCAATGAATGTTAATTAAGTGCAAAAATGTGACTGAGTGGGAAAGATAGTATTTGTTGATTTACAGCATTTTGCTGAAATACTTGACATTCTGTGTAACATTTAAGAACTCTTGGTGGTTCTTTGTAATTTTTATTTGTATTCTTTTTTTTTCCCTTTTTTAAATTTTACTCTCACTTAAGTCTCAAGTGGACTCAGTGACGAGGAGCACCTTCCTTCAACTGCGGCTAATTTACCAACTATAGCTGTATCTCGACAGACAAAGCTTAGCCAGCCCTGGTGACATCGCAGCTGGACTACTGCAGTGTGCTTAAAGCGGGGCTGCCATTGAAGACAGTCTGGACACTCCAACTGGTTCAAAATTGGGCCATGCAATTACTAACATAACTAGTCCATGGGCCCATATCAAACCAGAATTATATCATCTAAACTGGTTACAAGTGGAAGTCCAGGCACAATTTAAAGTGCTTGCACTTATAAAGCTCTAAATGGCTTGGGTCCTGGGCACTTGAAGGACGGCCTGAGCCCATATGCCCCTATCCATCCATTAAGATGGAGTGAGGAGGTCCTCAAGAAGCCATCCCCAGGGAGGTGAGGGGAATGATGTGGGGAAGAAGGGACTTCTCAGTGGTTGTTGCCAGTTACTGGACAGCAGGAAGATGGCCCAGGGGAGAACGTCAGACCCGTGCCAATTATTAAGAGCCTAGAGACAAGACTTAAGAGCCCAAAGCTTTATTTGGGCATCTTGAAAAAAGTGGATGCACAGCCACCCCCCTCCCTTCAAAGGCTCTTTCATTCTGCTCATCCTTTATCTCCCTGCAATTCACACATGCCCAGGAATCAACAAGCTTCCCACAATTAACAAGACAAGCTGTTATTCTTATGCCATAACTGGTTCTCCCTCGGATCTTCCTGCTCCTTGGCTATCTGTCACTATCAAGCCAGCTGCAGGCTATATGGAGTTCATCTCCTTCCCTCACACCCTCCCTCTTAGAACAGGAAGTCCAACATGGCTGCAGTGCGGAGAGCAGTAAATCTGGGACCGGCCCAGCACCGTAACATCACTCCTGGAATAGGCTCCCCAGGGAAGTGTGCCTGGTGCCAGCATTTTGATGCCAAGCAAAGACTTATTTCTTCTCTGGCTATTTTAAACATTGGTAATCTGATTTTAAATTGATCCTACTTTGGGTTATTAGTTGATTTTAGTTTAAACTGTCTTATTCTAATTTTTATATATTTTAATGTTGATATGTTTTCTGTTTGGATTATGTTGCTAGTATGTTCCAAATACGCAGAGTTAATATTTCCTGATTTTAGAATGCTGTGTTTATTTATTGTGAACTACACAGAGATCTCAGATATGGGCTATTGTAGCTGCATACTAATTGTGGTAATACATAAACAAATATTTGTTGGCTGTAGTCAATTTCAATTGATGATTGAGCCAAAATCTTTCACTATTTCAATCTATTTCTTGTTGCCATTATAGTATAATTTTTCTGTAATAAAGATTTTTGTTTATGTTTCTGACAGTAGTGGCAACAAAATTAGGAAAGTAGTAATGTTTTGGAGGCTGGAGAAAGGAACTTTCATTTTGTCATAGAATATACTATGCAAATGAACAAGTCCAGTAATAAAGCATATAGTTGGCTTTGCAGTTTTAGAGTAGACTTATTAACCAAACTTAACTCGCATCTGTACAGCATGCAACATATATATAGTAAATTTTAATAATCAGGAAGTGCTGATGCTTAATTTTACTTGAGTTTTTTATAGAGTATAATAAATGCAGTACAGAGAAACTGAAATATTAGAAGCCTATGAATAAAAATGAATAGCTAAGCAGGATGTCATGGATAGGACCCAAGTTAGATGTGATATGACAGCACATAACAATGAACCAAAATGGAATAGAACCCAAGAACCTCTCCAAGATGGGAGTTAACCTCTCACAATGGGCCTTTCCCATTCTCTTTTCCCCCAGCTAACTCCCTTTCCATCTGCAATTCTGCTTTGGGGGGTCCCCCACCCCTCCAAAGCAGTTACGGGGGGCTGCAGTGGGGAAAGGAAATCTGGCAGAACACCATCACTGCATCCAAGACTGGT